GAAACCTTGTTTCGGGTGGGCAGGGCCCATAGGGAAAAAAAAAAGGGATCCAGTGACAAATTGAGTCAAACCTGAAGACAATAAACAAGAAAAAGAAGAAATCAAGTTTGGTGGGCTGAGCCCATATGAAGGGTTGTAAGTGAAACCTAAATATTAATAGGAGGGAAGGGTTTGGGCCAATTAAAAGAAAACAGAGAAAATAAGAATTAAATATGAGGTGCTACACAAACTAAAATAGATTAAATTAGAAAAATTTTAAATTTGACAAAATGGGCTAGGTCTCATTGAGCCTCCAATCCAAAAGAAGGGAGTATGGGTAAAAGATGAAATGTGTTAAGAAGGACATTTTGTTTGGACTCCTAGTCGATAGGTCATCAAACATAGCATCTACCCATCTGGTGAATGAATAGTAATGGGCTGAGTAAACATAAATAATTATAAGGGCTAAAAGTCTTGAGAACTAGTTAAGTTAAAGAAAAAAAAATTATTAAACCACTAAATATATAAATGTATATATGGTAGCAATAAAAGCAATAAAAGTATGACATTAAAAATAAAAAATAATAATGGGATTGCACTAAGAATTAGTGACTAAGAAACTAGAATAAAATACTCACATAGTTATAGAATGGGTATGAATAATTGAAGATTAATAGTGAATTTTTATTATGAGAAATTATCGAAACTATTTGGCAAATATGAATTAGTGGAGTGATTAAATAATTTCGTGAAGTTAATATTTGGAGTTTATTTATGTGAATCAAACCTTAAGGTAACCTTGATAAATGAAAACAATTTGGAAGTTGATGAGCTCGAGGATTTGTGAATTAATAAGGCTTTTGGGAATACAGAAATAAAGCTTGCACGAAAAATTAAATGAAGATGATTAAGTAGGAAGTTCAAAATATAATTTAAAATAAATCATGCTAGGAAATACACATGGTAGGCAATGAAGATTTCTTATTAGAGAGATTTGAGTAAGTGTGCAGTTCAGAATCGGTGGGGAATGATTATGAACTCTTATCTCATGGACAATGTGTTGCTTCATAACTATAACTATAACTATGAGTGTGGAAGCGTAATAATAACTAGGTCCATGTTGATAATAGGAATTATCATTTTCTTATGCGATTGTAAATGAATGGTAGTATATAAAATAATAACGAATTTATGTGCATATGCGTTGGTTATATTTGGTGAATAATGGGAATTAACTGTAATATAAAATGTGTACATGGGAAGAATTATTTTTTATGTGATTATGTGCAATTAATATGGTTATACTTTTGTATTAAGGAGGATAAGAATGAATTTAGATTTGTATAGGTGAAATTGAGTTGTAGAATTATGGATATCTCATGAAAGAATTGAAGCACACGTTAAGTAAGGACAGTAGTTTAGTATGACTATGACTGTAATTATGATTGTCAAAGTGTAACTATGGCTAGATCGATGTTGATAGTGGGAATTATTTTTTTCTTTCGTGATTGTGATTGAATGGTATTATATGAAACAATAAAGATTTTATATGAACATGTATTGGTTGTGCTTGGTAAATATTGGGAATTAATTATAATATAAAATGTGTATATGAGGAGAGGTACTTCTTATGTGATTATGTGCAATTAATATGGTTATACTTTTGTATTAAGGAGGATAAGAATGAATTTAGATTTACATAAGTGAAATTGAGTTGTGGAATTATGGTTATCTCATGAAAGAATTGAAGTATATGTGGAGTGAGGATAATAGTTTAGTAGATCGACATAACGATAGTATGAATATTGGATGTGAGGTTTATGTGCAGGTTTAATGTATGTTATCTCTGACACTATATTCTCACTGAGCTTGTGTTAGAGTAAAGGTAAAAGAATCGAATCAGCACATTATCTCCGGTTTTTGAATTAGAGTTTTAAATTATTTTTACTGAGCATTTATTACTCACTCCTCTTTATTATTTATAGAACAGGGGAAGCAAGACCACACCAAGGGATCAGGACGGTGAAAATTGTGAAAATGGAACAAAAGATGGAAAGACACTTGTTTATGTAAATATGATTTTCCAGACTTTAAAACATTATTTGACTTTTTAGATTTCAAAATATTTTTAAAAAAATTTGAATCACTATGGTATATCGTAGTTTAATTACATTAGAATTTATTGAGAATATGATAATTACGATAGAAAATACGGGTGTTAATATTTATTATGATAAATGAATAAAAGGTAATAATCATAATTACTTATGAAAATTTGGGTGGTTACAACTATTAATTTTTTTGTAGACTGTATTATTTTAACACTTAACTAACTTTGATTTAGACATCTTTGCAATTTTTTTATTTATTTATCAATATATTTAGAGATGGACATAAAGAGGTGTTACCATTAATAGGTAAAACTCATAATTAATGAGTCACAAGATATGTGCATATATAAAATTACAGATTCAAAACAAATAAAGTAGAGTATGAAATAAGTGATATACTTCACTCGTTATGCATATGATTCATAAATTTTTAATTTTACTTAAATTAATCAAATTTGATTAATAAATATTTAATATTATATTTTTATATTATTTTTATTATTGAGTTAATTCTGTTCTAAATGGTATTTTAAATTATATAATTTTTTAATTCACACTTACATTTTATGATTAGTTTTAATTAATTATTTCAATATCTTATAATATTTTTTAAAATAAAAAATAGATTGACGGAACCAGTAATTAGTAAAAAATAAAAATTTAGAGAATATAAGTTTTATTTTTATAATAGAATGGATATAATAATTGAAGTAGTCATCTGGTGCTTTAAGTTTCTCCTTACGTCTCAAGAAAAAGAAAACGTTTCTCCTTCCAAGAAATTTTCTTTGGGAAAGAAACGTTTCTTCTGAATAACTAAAACTTCAAAATCTCAGACTCCAACACACTAATAATCACCGAAGTTAAGAACTATCGACGTTGGCTTTCTTTCTCGGGTTGTTTAGAATGGCATCGGCACGAGATGTCGAGTCTCTATCATCACCACAGTCTTCATCATCATCACCATCAGTTGATGCTCAGACGACGCAAATTGATGGCGGAGATTCAGAGGAGGAACAACAGCATCAGGTGATGAGCGAGATCCACCTTGGATGCCCTCCTTGCACTTCTGGCCCACACATCTCCCGCTTCACCATCTGCCTTCCACCTGGTACAAATTCTTTCATTCTTCTCTTTCCTACTTCTCCCTACATCTGATTTTAATATTTAATTTGAATACCAGTTGGTTTATCCTCTCGATTATTAAAAGACTCAAGCCCTAGATTGGAAATTTCTTTTCAAAATTTAACAACTCATGAGGGTGTTCATTGAAATACTGGCCGTGAAATAGATCATTTTAGTACGAAGATTATAATCATTTGTATTTTTTTTTGTAATAATTATCTTAGAAGTTGAATGCAGCAGATGCAAAGAGCTAGTTAAAGATGAAAAAATTCATGTGGTGAACGAGCCTATTACGTTGGATGAAGATGGGACCTTGTTCTACCTAGACGCGCCCGCAACCGTAAGTTCTTATGCTCTATTTAATTTTCTTAACATCAGATGTCTCTGAGTTTCAATTTGTCTTGGATTTCACTTAAATTAATATGCTAGTTGAAGTGTCTTTCCACGCATCTGAAAGGGAAGACCGAACTTTCACTTAACTTATCTGTTCTGGGTTTCAACAAGTCTTTCTAGAGCTCTTGTGTACTCGACACTTTGGCCTTAGAATCTCATCCATTCTGGTGAAGATCAAGTTTCCTCTTAATGACATTGTGCCAAAGAGAATTCAGTTTCCAGGAGAAATCTCCATGGTCATTCAATTAAAAGATACAGATTTTTACAATGAAGATTCCAAATGCTAAAGCTGCCATCCTCTTCCCTAAGGCAACACTTCTTCTAACTAAGACGATGTTTGGCTTCAGCTTTTATCTACGGCTTTTGCAGTGCCAAAACACTCTGCAACCAAACGGGAAAACTGAAAATGCTTTTCCTTTTCAAAACCGCTTCTGCTTTAGAGAAAATATATATATAGTTTTCTAAAATTATCTTCACATAAATTTATTGAAAATATTCTTGATTTTAAAATATTGGAATTTTATTAATATTTGGCAATTTTAATTTTATTGAAATATTAATCATAATTTTATTTAAATATTGCAGTTTTATTATTATTTGGAAATTTAATTTTTAAATGTAAAGAAAATTTTAATATCTTATATTATTTAAATAAACTTTTCACTCATAGCACAAGCATATCCCGTGCCAAACAGGGCCTAAACTCTATTTCTTGGACTCACTCAACCTAGACCAGAGGAAAGATTTAAATCACTTCCTAAATTCTGTCAGCTACACCTCTAGGGATTTTAGAAAGAGAAAGGAAATAAAGGAGGGATTGCAGGAATTTTCCTTTTTGCGGGGTTTGCTTGATGCCAGTTACCAAATATTTTAAAAGAAAGTTGGGGTTTGTCTCAATTAGGAACAAGAAAAGTTGGGTCGGATAATGAGCAAGGGTCAAGTTTGTTACTGTCATCACCATAGATATGTGTATATATATATATATACTATGTAAATTTTATCTTCATCTTGCATGATGGCGGTTGGGGCAAGGACTCTATTGTGTGAAATAATAGGTTCTTTATATTTTGTGGAAATAACTTGTGGAAAGTATCTTGCCTCAATTTAGGCCAACTCAATTAGGGTACTTTATGGATTATATCTATCTTTATTTGTTTGATTAGGGCTGATTCTTCTGGCTGACCAATCAACCTTCAATTTTAATGAATTATGTCAAAGTAGAGACTAGAAAATTTCTTAAAAGAAGGACCTGTTTGTTTAGCATTTATTCATTTGATAAATTCTGAAGAGTTGTTTTTTCAAAAATCTAAATCTGCAGAATTATCTTCTTGTTTTCTTGTCACCATCCAGCATTATATCACATCATCAATTCCTAACGTTGGTTTGCAGGTAAACCCAGCTATCTAAAAATGTTGGTTCAGCGTATATGCTACATCCTGGTATTTATTCACTTTTGCCTTTTAGGTTTGGGGAGCAGAATTAGTATTATCTGATTTTGTATTGCATAAAATGTGCATTTCATCTGAACTGGATGGAATTATGTCATTAGAACTTGGTGCTGGAACAGGTAAACAATATCTGCCATCTACTTTGGTGCCTTTTTCTAAGCATGTGTTATGTTTTCCATATAAACATTATATGGTTTGAGTCCCATGCATGTATTATCAGTTCCTAGCAATTTAAGATCTTTGGACAGGTAAGACCGAGAAAGCTTGCTGTAAATTTTACCAATAATTACAAGTTGCAGCTTAAGCTGCATGTTTTTCACAATTCACACGTTCAACAATATGAAGTGTAGAGTTTTTGTTAAAAATCAGCAAACAAGATTATCTTAGACTCTTATCTTTATGCATATGAATAAAAGTATCAGCTTATAACAAATTGATAAAACTTACTGAAAAATTCGCAATCATACTTCCTCGAGCATAAGTGGAACAAAGAATAAGAAAAAATTCCAGTTTTCTAATTATAGTTGTCTTTCAATGTACTTGTGGATGCATGAATTCCAAGATTTGCATCGACTATTGTCTTAGCTGTTTTATTGTCCAAGGAGCTCATGTCACATGATTATACATATGTTATAATGTGCTTTATTTTGCTGTATTTACCCAGGGTTGGTAGGTATGCTGCTTGCTCGTGTTGCTCAGACAGTGTTCCTAACTGGTATTGCATGAATGTAAATATAGAATTATTACCTTTTAAGTCTATCCTTGTTTGTTTACTATAAAGTTCTTATGCCAGCTGCTTGGGTAAATTGCTTTTGCTTGAATACCAATGGAGGCTTGATTGCTGACTTCATCCTCATTTCAGTTTGTCAACAAGATTTTTCTCCTAATTGTGACAGACTAGGGGATGAGATCCTTGACTACTGTGCTAGGAATGTTAGCATCACTTCTGGATTGTTTAATTCTCGAGCTGCTGTTCATGTGCGTGAACTCAATTGGATGGATCCTTGGCCTCTTAAATCTGTTTCGAACAACATCGCATCCCTGAAAAAGTCAGATATCTGTTTCGGACAACTGTGCTATGGGATATTGTCTAATTTGGTTTCTATGATGATAGTAAATATCTAAAAGTTTATATACAGATATTCTTGGACCTCTGCAGAGTTCGAAGAAGTTCAGGGAGCATCACTGATCGTTGCTGCTGATGTAAGTTATAGTGATGATCTGACAGATGCACTTTTCAGTATTTTAGAGAGATTAATGTCGGCAGGTTCAGAAAAGATACTAATTGACAATAAGAATGATTATGACTAGGCAGCAGATAATGTTTTATTTGTATCAGAATTGTTAGAATTATGCTACATACAAAATTTTATTTGGACAGGTTGGTATAAATCTATCTTTTTCTGGCTGAGAGATGCACTGTATTAAAGGGTTTTTCATTGAAATTTGTAATTAAATATTCTGCTTTTTAGAATTTTATTCATGATAAGACAAATAAGAGATATTAGAGAGAGTTTGAGTAGCAAACTAATATAAATCAGTTCCATAAAAAGATAAGATCTTCTGTTATAGTATCTCAAAAAAATTTA